GTCTGGTGTTTTATATAGGTAGATAGATGGATGGATGGATAATAGATATACATACATAGAAGTAGACATTAATCCTTTGAGAATAGGGTATCTCATTCCTACTGACTGGTCAATTTTTCTCTCCTATGCAGTTTTATGTTTCCTTTTGTGGAGTATAGTGATTAGCTGAGACCACCTTGATCCTTCCCAACTGGCCAAATCAATTTGTTCCTGTCCCTATGTAGACAATAGAAATCCCTATTGAGAAGCTATGTAGAAAGACTAAACTGCCTTTTTCACTGTTTCTAAATCTTCCCTGCTTCTTAGTGTGGAGTGTCTCTTCATGAAGAACCTGGTGAAGCCAAAGCCCACTGTTCCGGAGCGTCTTCAAGACTTTCTACTTAGAACCTGCTGTGTTATTGAGCTTGTTTTTCCAAATGATTATTTTTGTTAGTTTACATACAGTTCAGTGCCTAGAAAATGTGCCTTTGTTTTAATATACACTCCAAACTGGGGGGTGTGCCCTATCCTGCACACATTTTGCACAGTGCCTTCACAGATGTATGCCCCGACTAGGAAAGAGGACTTCTGATGCTCCAGAGTGCTGGAGTCTGGGTGGATGTTGTCACTGACAACTTGCTGTGGATTCCAGGAAGGGAATTGTGTTCAGTTCAGCTGTCCCCACATCTGACATCGTCTTCAAAACCACATTTTAAACCTTTGGGTGATTAGATTACCAGCGCCTTTCGAGAAGAACACTACTGCCTAATCCAAATTGGTGACAATAACAGGGTGTGCCTTATTTTGATACGTGGCTCATTTTCGTTAAGAGGACCCTCCTTTTTGTAAGCACTACTGACTCTTGCTGTATTAAGATGCTCTCATGTTAGGTGTGAAGATGTTTACTTTCTTGTTCTTGTTGTGTATCGCGTCTAAAAGAGTATTTTAATCAGAAATAACCCTTGAAAAAGTTTTTGTAGGACTATGACCAAAGTTTCTTTTTTGCCAAAACTGAAATACGATGTCCGTTAAGTCTGTCCCTAATAGATTTAAGTAAGTGCCAAATGTAACTCAGGTTGTCCTTCAAGGAAAAAGTGTTTATACTGTGTGAGCCTTCAACATTTTCACAGCCCTTCCTGTGAAATGCTGTAGATGATACTCCTTCAAATTTGGTTTCTTTCATAGAGCTATAGAGGTGAGCTAAAGCAAGCAGTTTGCAGACTGAACGAGAGGCTGTGGCCTCTAGTGCAATGTGAGCAGCAGCTCCGCAGCCTCACAGAGTCATTAGCAAAGACCGGAGCTCTTGAATCCTATTGACTGCTTTTACTCATACTCCACTTCCTAAATCAGTCCTCTGTATTATGCCTGAGGTGAGGCATTGGTCGCTTACAAGTGGATAGCTAACCAGAGATGCCTGTTGCTCTTAAGACATAGCTGTTGCCATCTGAGACACTTTGGTTGTGTATATGAGACTTTCATCAAGGTGTGGTTCAAAGACGGCGTTCAGGCATGAATGTGAATAAGAAAGCAGGGAGGGAGACACGGGCTTTCTTTGCTTGTGGCAGTGCCTCTACAATGTCCTGGAATCTGTGTTTGTGTGCAAAGTGGCACCAGTCAAGATGGAACAGAATCTGGTTCCAGTTTTTTATTTGTTCCCTAACATTACTGAAACAGTACAAATATTGAAAGCATGCCCCACTATGGAAAAGCAACATCAGCCTGGGGCCTCTGTCTTGGTCTGACCCCACAACCTTGGTGCTGTCTCCTCCATACTCAGACCCATGTAACTCACTGGCTTCTGTGTTAACACAGTAATACCTCGCTTGTCTGTGCATTCAGCTGGGAACTTTCCCGCTATGAAATCCTGAATAAAGTTGTTTATTAACATGATCCTGTCTTGTGTTCCTTAGAGTGAGGTGGATACACCTGATCCATTTCCTAAAACTTCTTCCCCTTGCTGTCCCTGCCTTTCCCTCACAAACTACTTTTTCTTTCTTACCCACCCCCACTAGGAGTAGCTGCAGATCCCATCCCATGTTAGGGTTCTCTAGAAGAACAGAACTGACAAAATGAATATATATTCAAAGAAGACTAATTAGATTGGCTTGTGTGATATGGTCTGCCTCACACTGGAGAGGCTGAAAATGAAGAGACTAGCCAGCTTGATCACAGTAAGCATGGCTCTGGCAGGCCTTGCCCTTCTCTCCCATTCCCTCTGCTTTGCTAAAAATATTAGATCACATTTCTAAAGCCAGCCCCTAAGATCTATTCCCTTATTTGGCCACATCTTCCCCCTGAGGCTGGCTACCAAAGTCCATCTATCAAAGTATCAAAGTCCAGCAATCAAGAGCCCCCTTGTAACTACCCTAATTAACATATCCAATCAAAATCAACCACCTCATCCTAACACGGGGTTTCCCTTTTTCCCTTTATAAACTCATTTGCCTGTGGGTCACGTCTGTCTCCTCTCTGTCCAGAGGCAGTCCTCTGTCCCTCCAGGAAAACAACCCTGTCCCCTCTCCCTTGCTCCCTTCCCCTTCTTCCTCATCCTCTACCACCCCCTCCACCCCACCCCCGTCTTTGTCTTATTCCCTGCCATTTGTTCCTCTGGAGCACATAAATCTGCTTTGTACTGAGAGCTTGGCTTTGGGGTGTGCTGAGCCAATCCCAATCCAGACCCACCATTCTCTTCCAGAGAAACTGGTATCTGTTCAGTTCGTGAGGCTGAGTGCTTGCTTCAGCAGTTCCAATCTGGCACTACAGGCATGGAGGATTCCTGGAAAACCTCATGTTGAAATCCAAAAAGCTGAGTTCTGATCATAGCAAAGTGCAGCAACACCAGGGTAGAACTTGCCAGTGAGTGAGGCTCATAGGCAAAAAGCAGAGCATCCATCTTCCATCATCATTATCTGGGCTGCCACCAAAAGTTGCTGCCTAAATTTAGGGTAGGTCTGAGCAAGAAAGTCCATCAGGAATGCCCAGCAGGTTGCCTTTCAGTTGGTTCCAAATCCAATGAAGTCTACGACTGAAATTAACCATCATACCCCAAATGAAAAGTGCTTTTCGGTGTAGAGGTGAGATAGGAGCTGGCTTGCAGTTAGTCAGGATATGGCCTATGGGTTACTTAAATATGGTCTTCTAGAAGTAATCTGGAAAGGTGGCCCTGGTATATACCACCACCACCAGCCAGATAAATTTGGATAGGTGAGGGATGTTCCAAATGTGTGGCTCCCCCACCCACCCACCAGCAAGCATCTGTATTTGCCTTCCTTTCAATGCACACTCCCTCATTCCTCCACACCTGGAAACAATGTAATATAGACCAAGTGGGGTTTTGCTTATGTTTACAACATGAAAGTCTACTTTCCCTTAAGTACAAGCCCTACCACAGTGTGGCCCTTCCTTCCTCACCCACTCTCATACCATTTCAAGTTTTCAACAACTAACCTGCTCTACACCATGATGGCCTGGCAGGTACAATACTGTTCAGTTCTGTGGAAGTGTTCACCCACATCCCTCATTCCAAGGCATCACTCAAGTTCAGTCTCCCCTTCTCAATGAAAACTTATCCTCCAGGCCATTTCCCAGGCCTCTTGCCTCCTCCCTTAACCTCTATCCTTTCCATCCCACCAGCTTATTTTATTTACTATCATCTCAACTTTCTTGACGTTCAGGAGTCACTGTGAGGGATTTTTGTCCTGTCTGCAGGGAGTGCAGTAATCTCTGCCCAGGTGTGCACTCAATAGCTGTGTCGTGAATGCTTCTGGAAGAAGAGCTTGACAGGAGAGTGATCCGGTGTGGAGAGACTTTGAAAATGAGTGATTTGTTCAATACATAATGTGGATAACTGCCCTCTGGCACTTCCCCTTCTTTGACCTAGAACATCTTTCATTCATCCTCCCCTCCCCCTTTATGTTCAATTTCTCATCTAAATTATTCCTACGCGCTGCTTTCTTCACACAACGGATACAGCCCCCCCCAAAAAAAAACTGAGTGTACTTATTTCTTTAGACTTAATTATTTATGTGTTGTGTATGTCTGGATATGTGCATGTGCTTTTATCGATGAGGGCGTGGGATCCCCTGGAGCTTGGGATTAGGGGTACTTGTGAGGCACCTGATAGAGGGTGCCTGGGAACCATCCAATGAAGGAGCAGTAGGCGCTCTGCTGCGCCATCTCCTGCCCGCCCCCCACCTCCCACCCCCGTGTCTTGGTGTACCCAGGCAGCAGAGGGCTCTGCCCTGTTCATTTCGTTTAGGAAGATATGAATAGTTACATAAAATGAGCGTCCCGGCTGTTTCCTCGAAAAGAGAGCATCTTTTACATATGTTTATCTTCCTCCTGTTGCCAAATGGATCTGTAACTTCAGGGCAGCCCGGGAAGTTACCTTGTACCATTACACTTCTATTTCTGAAAATTCGGTTGGATTCTATGGGGGTTCATTCGCCTATAGCTGGCGGGCGGGAGGAGACAGCAAGTTCAGGAAAGATTAAAACAATGGGAAACCAAGGAGATCCTTCACTGCAAAGCATTGCATCCCTGGGCACTACCGCAGTTGGCCCGGGAAGCCTCAGTGGCCAGAGGACCCAGAAGTGCCACAGGGAAACCCGCTTCCACTCACCTGTCGGCCGCGCAGGCCACGCCCCCTGACCCGCCCTCTCCTGACTGACAGCTCCAAGGCCCCGCCTCCGGACCCCAGCTGTAGACTTGCACGGCGAGGCCCTAGCGTCCTCCTGGCCACTCCGCCCCCGACCCGGGCTCCTGGCGGCCGGGATTGGCCAAGAGCCGACCTCGCCCGACCCTCGCGTTATGTAAGGTACTCCGGGGCCTTTGCACCCGCCCACTCGCCCACGGTTACGTAACCCCCGCGGTGCCGAGTCGGACTCCGCCCTGGCCAATGAGAGCTCGCGTAGCCGGCCGCAGTGACCAATCGAGCGGCGGGGGGGCGTGGCCGGAGCCCGTGGCGCGGAGGGGGGCGGGGCCGGCGGCCGCTCGGCACGCGGCTGGCCTCGAGACTGGGCGGCCCGCGGGTGGGCGAGGGCTCTGCGGGGCGGCGGGCGGCGGCGAGTGCTCGGCTGGCGGGAGGCCTGCGAGCCTGCACGGCCCGGCGCCGCTGCCCCTGCCTTCCGCCGTGTCAGCCCGCAACCGTGCGCTCCGAGGCGTTCCTTGATGCTCGCCGACTTCTCAGCACAGACGGTGGAAAAGTTGGTTCGGGCTGAACCCGCTCGCCGAGAGTCACGGTGGGGTCCGGCCGGCCCGTTTCCGGCGTCGAGCTGTCGGTGTCGCTCGCCACCCGAGCAGATTCTGTGAAAATGCTGAGGAGAAAAGTGCCCCTCAGATGAGCGTGGTCGGCACCCAGTCTTTCCCGAAGGCGATGGCAGGGACCAAAACAAGCCGGGTTTGGTTGCTAGCTGCAAACTGAGAAAAGCTGGCTGAGGGCTGCCAGGCGGGATGGACCCCTGTGGAGACCCGGCAGTGCCCAGCGGCGACTGTCCCCACAGCGGGGGACCGGGGCTCCAGGGCACGTCTGATCAGGAGGGTCCGCTGCAGGGCACTTGCGTGGACAGCAGCCACAGGTGACGCCGGGAAGCTTGCCTACACCCCTCTGTTTATTGCCCTGGCCAGGGGCTGGGAAAGCAGGACGACAGCACTGTTATGTTTTTGACCCCGGGGACCGGGTGGGGGTGGGGGGCGACGTGAAAGGGAACTTTTAGACACTTGAGTGAGAACTGACGGGAGGAGGAGGATACCAGAGTAAATTACCCGAGTATGGCAAGGAGGAGGAAAGCGTTGAAGAATTGGATGGAGTTAGGGCTGAAGGGAGATTGCAAGTGTCCAATGTACCCTGCCTGGAAGAGAAGGAAGGGCATTAAACCTGCGATCTGAGTGAGTGGGTGTGCCCAGACACCCCTAAAAATCAGGCATTTACTGAGTGTCCACCATTACCATTTCTTGTTTTTTTTGTTTTTTTTGTCTTCTGTTCAGTGAACATGAAGACAGAAACAGAATATCTGAAGAACTTATAATGGTTGTCCAAGAAATGAAAAAGTATTTTCCAGCCGAGAGACGCACTAAGCCCAGCACCCTAGATGCCCTTAACTACGCCCTACGCTGTGTGCATAGCGTGCAAGGTAATGAGTTGCAGAGTAGCCTGGCGCTGGGCCCAGTACTCCCGTGCAGTGGGATTCCCGGGAGGCTTGAGCTTCTTGGTGGCCAGGACAAGCAGGTCTGACCGCCTTAAAGGGGGCTTTGGGCTTTCCAGAGCCAGGAGACTGGGATTGGCCTGACAGTTGAGTAACTGCAGTATTTTGCGGGTCTGCTGCAAGGGTCAAGTTCAGCAGTTTAAGTGAAACTTGAGGCTTTTTTTTTTCAAGGAGCATTGCCTTCCGTGGAGATTACAAGAGAAAACACATGTGTACTTTCCTGTCATGCACATACTTTGGCCATACAGTTACACTATATAAGAAACGGAGTCAAGGACAAATGTTTCTCCTTTCCTTCGGACTTGTTCTTCTCAAGTATTCCATAAAGTTGTGTCTTTAGCACAAACCTGTTTGCTTCATCTGTGGTAAATAGGTAGTTTGTGAAGCTAATATTTCCTCCATAAAAATGTGTGTGTATCTGTACTTTAATTTCATTAGCTAGCTTTAGAACTTTAAATGAATATTGCTTTTTGTAACCTAGAGCATGCAGGATTCATAAAATTCATAGTCTTAAGTTTGCATAACCATACTTTTATGCAAGCAAAAAAAAATTTACCTGATTTTGAGGAAAATGCAAGGCATCCTCATCTAAGAAAATTAGCCTGCCTGATAGTGCTAAGACGTGACTTCCTGAAGACGCTGTTGTCACTGGATTACCTGTTTATTTCCCTGTGTTTCTTAGCAAACCCAAGGCTCAGTCCACATGGAGTACCTCAGGCAGATGTGACTGCGTACAGTCTTGAGGAGCTGGCCTCTCTTGCTTCTGAACATGCTTCCAATAACACAGTAAGAGTTCATGAGTTTTGCCATCTCCACTGTGGTGACTTTCCTGAGGACCTTCTCTAGGTGTTAGAACAGTCACTGAAAGCTTCCCTTGCTGAGGTACACAAAGGCAAAAACGCTAAAAAGGCACTGTGCGGTTTCTCTGGCCCATCGCAGAGAAAGTGTCTGAAGATAGAGGCCTCACCTTGTGCTCTAGCATAGCCTCATGTGCTGTAGCTGTCGGGTATTTTCTCCCCCTCAGCATCCCATCTTCTCTCAGATAAAAAGAAAAAAGCAGCAGAAGGTGGCAGAGTAATTTCCTGCATCTTATTCTAATCTTCAAATTGTTACTTTCTATGTATATCATTCTTAGTTCCAATACCTACTTCCTCACGTTGTAACAGCTGGATTTTGTAGAACAGGTGAGTTGAGATGTCATTTTTATGATGAACTTTTGGAAGAGACCTTTAGTAAATACATATATTTTTTAATCTCTTCTTGTTGACAGAGTAATTAAGCCTCATATTTTATTGATGGTGGAGACTCCTTAATTTGATGTTTAGACTTCTGAATCACTTTAACTTAATGTTTTTATAGTATTACAACAGGAGTTGTGTAGCATTATATAATTGAACTTATTCTACTAATGTGCATAGTACTGTAGTAGGGGCCTAAAAAAAAAAACAAGTTTTAAGAAAACATTCACCCTCTAGAATCTTTACAGTGGGTCTAGACAGGGAAACAGGTCCATGCGAGCAAGCATGATGACTGATTACAAATGATGTTAGTTGACTAATAAAACAGATCTGAGGTGCAATTCTTATGTAATCAGGTCTGTCAGGGACAGCTTGTCAGGAGGCAGATCCTGACCTTGGTCTTTAGGCACAGAATCTGCATTCCTGACAAGAAGACAGTCCCTCCTGGTGGAAGCACAGTTTGCAGAAGAGAGAAGTGTACATGCCACATATATATTTAGTCTGCATAGAAGCTGGTGTGGGCTTCTTGGCATGGAGATGAAACTTTGAGGAAGCATGGTGTAACTTTTACGATAGCTGTTAAGCATGCTGGAGAAAACGATTTAGGAAGCTTTTTTTCTTTACAAGGGGTACATGTGTGTATGTGTGTGCATGTATTTTACGCCTTGGATTGTGGTGGAAATCCAGAAGAAATTGACTTTCAGAGGGTGTTGTTTGTAAGTTCCTCAGTTCTTGTTTTAATTCCACAGGGTACCTTTGTGGCAGTGTTTTCTTTTCTGTCTGGAAGGTTCATGCACGTTTCTGAACAGGCTGCTTCGATCCTGAATTCTGACAAAGATTTCTTGAAGTCCTTGCACTTTGCTGACCTGCTCGCACCTCGAGATGTGAGGGTGTTCTACGCACACACTATTCGAAGTCAGCTTCCTTTCTGGAACAACTGGACCCGAAGAGGTACTAGGACTGACGTGAGGTTGAGTATCTTGCCCCAGGATCTGGTCATTAACATGCTATTTACAACATACAGACTGTGGTGTTTCCCTTATTCTTTGTACTTCATTTGTGTATTTATTTTACTTCTTGGGTTTTTGAGCCAGGGTTTCCCTGTATAGCCACAGCTGTCCTGGAACTTGTTTTGTAGACCACGCTGGCCTCAAACTCAGGGACCCGCCTATCTTTGCATCTCGAGTACTGGGGTTAAAGGTGTGTACCACCACAGGCTTTATTCTTCTTTTTATTTTTATTTTGTTTTGTTGTTGTTTTTTAAAGATTTATTTATTTATTATGTATACAGTGTTCTGTCTGCATTTACACCTGCAGGCCAGAAGAGGGCACCAGGTCTCCTTATGGATGGTTGTGAGCCACCATGTGGTTTCTGGGAATTGAACTCAGGACCTCTGGAAGAGCAGCCAGTGCTCTTAACCTCTGAGCCATCTCTCCAGCTCCCTTATTCTTCTTTTTAAAAAGAACACAACAAAATGATATTTTTATTGTTCAGTAGTATAACAAACTTACTGAAATTTCACAGATTTTATATGAAAAATAGCTTTGATTACCAGCATACTTCACAGTGGGTGGTTGCTATACAGGTGTGCTTCCTGTGAATTAGTGCAACATACTTTATTCCTATGTTGACTTCATGCACTCTCTTTGTGTAATAGCTTTGACTTTATAGATAAGATTCTGATAGCCCCTACTCAGTTTTTTTGACCCCTAAAAGTTCATGGATCCCATAACTTTGTTTCCATGTGAAAGGCTTGTTTTTCTGAACCAGATATGCAGTCACAATTTTCTTTAACACATTCAGTCTTGTGTGACTTTCTTTCTAAATTCACTCTATGTCCCTCATATTCTTTGTGAACCATCTCTTAAAGAGCTCAGTATACACCATATGTATCAGCCTTTTCTTTGATTTCAATTGTTTCTCAAATTAGGTTATTATTATTTATTTATTATTTGTATGTTTGTTTGTAACCCAGATGTCTTAGAGTTTCTATTGCTGTGATGCAACACCATGACCTTTAAGAAGCAAGTTGAGGAGGAAAGGGTTTATTTGGCTTACACTTCCAGATCATAGTCCATCATTGGAGGAAGTCAAGACAGGAACTCAAGCAGGGCTGGAAGCTGGAGGAAGGAGCTGATGCAGAAGCCATGAAAGGGTGCTGCTTACTGGCTTGGTTCACATGGCTTGTTCAGCCTTCTTTCTTATAGAACCCAGGACCACCAGCCCAGGGATGGCACCACCCACCATGGTCTGGGCCCTCCCTCATTGATTGCTAATTGAAAAAAAAATGTCTTACAGCTGGATCTCATGGAGGAGTTTCCTCAACTAAGGCTCCTTCCTCTCTGATGAGTCCAGCTTGTGTCAGGTTGACACAAAACCAGCCAGTATACCAGGCTACTCACAGACTCACTACATAGCAGAAAATGGCCTTAAACTGTGATCTTCCTGCCTCTACCTCCTAAGTGGTGGGACTACGGGCAGATACCACCAGGCCAACTTACTCAGTGCTGGGGATCAAACCTAGGGCTTCATGCAGGCTAGGCAGTCATCTCCTGACTGGACTATATCCCCTAATGGAATTTTCCCAAGTCCTGGCCCTGAGAAGATTCCTCCCAGAGTCCTGGGGAAGACGCTAGTCTGGTGGGGTATCTGAGGGAAAGGAATCTACATACACCATGCTCTTTGTTTACATTATTCCTCTGTGGCAAAATTCTATCTGTACAGCTTCAGTTCCACCCTGAGTCTCAGTTCCTCTCTGTACCTACTTTTTCTATCCCTCGTAGCCCTAGTAATAATAAATAAGTACTTATGTTTTTTATTTCATCTTCATCTCCTGTTCCTTCATCCTCCATCTTTCCTTCCTCTTCTCCTCTCCTGATCTGATTCATCTGCAATCTATAAGAAACTTTTCCTTGCTCCTCACTCCTTAACCTGAGCCATTCTGCCTTAGCATCTACAGAAACTCTCCGTGTTCTTTCTTTCCTGGCCACTCTGGAATTTCGCTACAGTCCTTACTGCACTTTTACTGTGCAAAAGGCCCTGTTGTCCTGAGTCAGTTGCTTTGTAATGCCATTTTCCTGTCTGGGGAAGGGGGGTCTGAACTTCATTTGCACAAGAAGCAAAGCTATGCATCTACAGCCTACCTGTCTCCTAGGCTCTGGGAGGAGTGTTACCTAGTGGATCAGGAGGTCTGAGAAGCTGAACTGTTTGCCAAATGCTCTAGTAGTATATGGGCGCACATGAATTTCATAGTAGAAGACAGCTGAAATATTAAAAACTGAATAACACCAAATATT